TAAAAATTAAAATTGATGATATTAAAGATATTGATAATAATAAAGATATAAAAATTGATGATAAAATAGATATTGATAATAAAAAAATTAAAGATATAAAAAAGAAACCAAGAAAAAAATTAAGTTTAAAAACTAAAACAATATTTAAATCTAAATTAGAAACTAATAAAAGGTATTGTGGAATAAAATGGAATAAATCAGTTAAAGATAAAGAAAGTATATTTAATAAGGTAGATTTACAAAACTTAGAAGGATTGTTTGAATTAGAAGATTTTGAGAAATTTGAAATGGTAAAAGAAATTAAAAAGAAGGAAGTTAAAAACGTAATATTTGATAAAGAAGAAGAAATAAAAGTATTAGATCCAAGAAAGTCATTTGGATTAAATGTAGCACTTGGAAGAGTAAAATTAAAACCAGAAGAATTATTAGAAGAGATAAGTGAAAGAAAATTAAAAGATGAAAATTTAGTGAGACAGTTATTATTTTATAGTCCAAGCATAGAAGAACACTTGATTATTAAATCAATTAAAGATGAGAAAATTAATAAAGCAGAAAAATTCTATCAAACAGTTGAAAATCTACCTAAATTGATAGAAGACTTAACTGCAATTAACTTTAACAATTTATACTCTAAAAGGAATTATAAAAAGTTATTTTCTAACTACATAGAGTTATTTGAATACATGATTGATAGTAAAGATTTAGTTGATTTAGTAGGAATATTACTAATAGTAGGAAATCAATTAAACAACTTTCAATTAAATAGAGCAGAAGCATTTGAATTGAATAGTTTAGAGTCTTTTATGATAGATGATATTAAAGAGTTGTTAATTAAAAAATTTGATTTTAGTAAACTAAAAATACAATCACTAATTTTACCAACCACTGGTTTATTACTTGAATTTAAAGATATTAAAAACATATATTTAAAGGGAGTTATAGATGATTTAGAATATGAATTAATAGAGGAACTTTTTGATAAGCTAGTTAATTTACAAACAAAATTAAAGAGATTCTTTAATATTGATGATGACTTTAAATTTATCAATCAAATAGTCAAATTTATAGAATTTAATTTAAAAACTGATCAATAAAATTTATTACATAGAACAACAATCATAAAGGAATAATTACCTAACAAGGTGAAAACATGAAATATTTCATGATAACCAAATACACCATTGTTAGGCCTTTTAAAACCTTTAATAATCCCACCTACTATATAAAATAAACCACCAGCCATACATAACAGTCTATCTCTTGTCCCCAGTAAAAACATTGATCTTATAGAAAAAATAACAATTAATCCATGAAATATGTAGATTGC